AAAGAGGAAGGAAGGAAAGGGAGAGAAAGAACTAGTGACAAAGCCAGATTTTTCATTGTGACTATCCCACATCCTTTTTAAACTTGGCAATATGCAGCAATGTTTAATCAGATAGTATAGAAGGGAAGAAATACAAATGTTACATATTTATAAGCTGAGCATTCTCATACATACTTCTCCCAACAGTCTTGACTTATAGATATGTTATTTCCACTTTAAAGATAGTTAACCAGAGATTTAAAGAGGTGAAGTGCCTTGCCCAAGGTTGGATTACTTCTTAGTAGTCCTAAGTGGAGGGTCTGGGATTTGAACCCAAAGCTCTCAGAAAGAAAAGGAAGGCCCAGAGTTTTTACTGAACTTGCATTTCTGGACTACTAAAGTATGTGAGTATATATGTTTGTAGACATTACCCTTCACCAAAACTTCTCAAAGGCCAGAAATAATATTTGTCTCATTTCTAGTAAGAGAGTTAGTGTTTCACAAAGTTATCATAAGGAGAGGAATAAATTCTTCAAGAGACTGCTCATCTGTGTCTTTTGATTTTGGGCATTGAAGGTCTCTGTAGTTCTACTAAAAATTTTTCCATCAAGGTTATTCTCCAAGTTCTTGTGATGACTTTGAAATTTAAATTTTCCCATCATCTTCCAGATTGAAGGCTGAGGTTAAAAAGGCATATTTCATTTTTCTCCTTTTCCCCATGGCTTTCTCTATGTCCTTTTTCTCACCATTATCCTTCCCTTTATCTACGATCTATCCCCCAAAAAATGTTTTACTTATAACTATAACTGGGTACATTTCCCCTCCTATTTCTCAGTTTCTTAAACTTCTTAAGCTGCATCTTCCCTGTGGAATTGTTGACCAAAATAATCATCCTGCACTGTTTAGGAACGTCTTAGATTTGTTTCTAGGTTATTTCTTTAGACTTAATAAGTACACTTATTAGCTGGCCACAGTTTCATTCTCCCCTCTGTGGTTGTATTTTCATTGCTCGTTAATGTGCAAATCATAGCTTTCTTTAATTACATACCATTACCTTTTCCTGTTGGCTCACAGCTTGGAAATTAGTCAAAGGCTGTGAATCTACAGAAATGTCTAGAATGGTTTCTTTACACACATTTGAGGATGCTACTAGAACAGAGTAAATTTAATTTCAGTGTGTGTGTTTGTGAGTGTGGTTGGCTCCTCCAAATGTCCCATGAGTGTTTCTGAGATTAAGAACAAACAGCCCGGGGGACCAGCAGTTAGCGTAATGGCTATGTCACTGGACTCCCACATAGTCAACTGCGGTTCGAATCCCAGACCCGGTGGCTTAAAACTCACGCCGAGTGCGTGTATGTACGTGCCCAAGATCCCGAGAGGAGAATGGAGGAGAAGGGATTGCGGCGTGACCATCCCCCCTGGGGGGTGATTTCTCGCTTTCTGTCTCTATGTCTCTCTGTCTGTCTGGTGAGTGCACATACCCTATAGCAAAAAAACCTCTCCCCCCCAAAAAAAGAACAAACAGCCAATGTGCAAAGAAAATACATCCTTCAAGAACCCCTACCTGGGGACCAGCAGTTAGTGTAATGGCTATGTCGCTGAACTCCCTTGTAGTTGACCATGGTTCAAGTCCCGGACCCAGTGGCTTAAACTCTCTCTGGGTGAACATGCGTGCATGCCCAAGAACCTGAGAGGAGAATGGAGGAGAAGGGATTGTGGTGTGGCCATCCCCCTGGTGGGGGTGGGGTGATTTCTCGCTTTCTGTCTCTTTCTTTCTGGCAAGCGCATGCTCCCTATAGGCAAAAACCTCTCCAAAAAAGAAAAAAAAAAAAAAGAACCTCAACCTTGAAACCTCCAAATTATACATTCAAATGAACTTGTCACATGTTTGATACACACACAGTAATTCTACCATTTCTACCATTTCTCATTAATTTCATGAATTTATAGTTCCTAATGATGTAATTCTGACATTGACAATCGTCATGCTTCTGGTGAAAAGGTGGAAAAGTTTTTGACTTGACCATAAACTTCTGGTTAACTAGTAGTAATTTGATCCAGTTCATGTAGGGAGAAGCATTATGTAATGCTGTTTATAATTAGAGTTACTTTTGAAATTCTAATAAATAAAACCCAAAATATATTGTGGCCACCTATCTTTATCAAAGTATAGCCTTTGGCCCTGCACCGTTGGTGTCAGTCTCAGATCACACCTACCTGCCACCATTGGGGTCTGCATACTCATAATTTGCATTTACAAAAGATCTCCTACTTACTCCTGTGTATGTTAAAGAATGAGAATTGTGGTTAAATATCATAGATCCCCCCCAAAAATAGTTTGGTTTGATATATATGGATAATTCAACCAAATTATTATTTAGAAAAAGGGGAGGGAAGTAGCTAGATAGCATATGTATAAACCCAACCATAGACGGAATTTGTTTAGAATAGAGTTTCTTACATGATTTGTTTTGTTCCTGCAGAAGGACTGCTTGAGGATTCATCATACCATAACACTCGCTCTCGCTTCTGTTGGACAAGTATCTCTGTTAGCTGGAACCTATTTCAAGACTGGCAGGGCCAAGGAAGAGATCAACCTCCACTCAGAAGGGTGCTCATTAGCACCCATCTGTTTCTCAAGCAGTGAGAATAAAGCCATGTAGAGATGAGAACATTTATTATCAAACAGGTTTCTGGCCTAGGCGTTTCTGTGTGTTCTGCTACACGGGTAATGATTTCTTTCTCATTTTAAAGGAAACATCGGATGTATTCATAGTTTTTTCACTCCTCTTCTGAGTTGCTCTGAGTGGCTACTTTGCTGTTCTGAATTTGCCTTTTGCGAACTGTGTTTTGAACATGGGAACTGATTTGTCAATGACTGAAGATGGGCTGAAATGGCAAAGGACAACTTGTCTGTGAATAGCAATGTGTCCTATAGAATCTTCCTAGTCCTTTCTTGTGTCTCCAAAATAGAATTAAAACAACAATAAAACACAGGCATTTAGCAGCCTTGCAGATGACTAGAAAACATTTATCAGCACATTGGAAAAAAATCTGGTTCTCTGCTCTGCACCCTGAGTAATAGCACAAAGGTGAGATACATGTGAATAAATAAATTTAAAAAAAAAGACTATAAAATTCAGTATGTGTTTTGGCTAGAATACAATCCTTTAAGAACTCTGTGATTGAAAGCTACTTAATAAATAATCCTTTCCCCCTTTCCATTTGCAGAAAGTTATTTCGGGTCAAGGAAATCCAGGGGTGGAGAGGTGAATAAACAACCCTGTAAATGTGGAAGAAGCATTTGATACTTCTGTTGTAGTCTTTTCATCTGACTCTCTTCCAAGTAGTTATTTTTGTGATATTGATCTAAGGAGAAGCACATAACCTATGCATCTGCATGGAAAATTCTTGTGAGAAAGTTTCAGAGTCAAGTTGATTAAATTTATAATACTGTGGGAAAACATGGCTTGGTGCCATCTAGCTCGCTTTTATCCTTTAACGATGTTTTACAAAAATGGCTCTGGAGGGACAGAAAGGTAATACGTTTTCCTCACCTATCACAAGAGTTATGTCTGACACTTACAGCAAAGGACAGGTTAACAGAGAAAAGGATAACAAACCTATTAACAAAGTTTTATGTGACATAGTAGCCTTCAGAAATGAAGGCCCGAAGACCCAGGAAAACTATTTTTATGCTTAGATTTGATGAAGAATTGACAGCGGTGTAGAAAAAAGTATGACTGGACAGAAAGGGTATGATCTAATGCTAATAGACTGAGGCAGGCGGGCAAATCAGCAAGGCCTGTTTTGTTAACATGCTTCTTGAGGGAACCAGTAGTTAGCATAATGGCTATGTCGCTGGACTCCCATGTAGTCGACCGCGGTTCGCGTCTTGGACCTGGTGGCTTAAAACTCATGCTGGGCGCATGTGCATGCGTGCCCAAGATCCCGAGAGGAGAATGGAGGAGAAGGGATTGCGGCATGACCATCCCCCCTGGGGGTGATTTCTCGCTTTCTGTCTCTATGTCTCTCTGTCTGTCTGGCGAGCACACACGCCCTATAGCGAAAAACCTCTCCAAAAAAAGATGCTTCTTGAGAGTTGGCAGGTGGCGTGGTGGTTGAAGTGCTAGACTCCCACATAGCCAACCACTGTTCGAGTCTTGGACTTGGTGGCTTGCTCTCTCACTTTCTCTCTGTCTCCCTCATTCTCTCATTAAATTAAAAAAATAATAACAAATAAAATTAAATATTTTTTAAAAGATGGTTCTTGGCCCCTTGGTGTGTCATTCTTTCCTCTCAGCCAAAGGACGGGACTCCTCTGGAAGGAGAGTCTTTGACCCACTTTCAGACAAGGTTGGAAAGAAAATAACTTGATCATGCGACATGCAGGAAGAAGGGGGAAGGTCAAAGTGACCTTCTTGCCTCTGAGGCCTTCCCAGTCCCCTTCAGTTCAAAGGAACATTAGCCTGGGGTAATGTTTGCTAAGTCTCAACAGCTGCAAATTTTTTGAAACTCCTCCCGCTGAATGATGAAGTGTATTTTTGCATCTGGCTGGACTTGAGACTCACCCATAATCAGTCGAGTAGATTAGAAGCCGTGCCATATGACTTTTGAACTTGGTCTGAAAAAATGGTTTTGGTTCTCCCTTGTTCTTGGAGCTTCGTAGGAAGTTCAACTATTAATGCCAGAGATCACCACACTCTGAAGAAGTCATACCACACAGTGAATCCAATGAAGAGGTATTCTACCTGTCAGCCTGATCTTCAAATTCTCCCAGCCCAGGAACTTTGAGTCTTCTCAGCTAGGTTCTAGCCAAGGTAAAGCAGAAACAAGCCATTCCTG